TTTTTTATTCATCTATTCTTTTTTTATCCAACTATCATTTTTTATTAATATCATTTAGATGATCCTTCATTTGACAGTTTAAAATATTTTGCAAAACTCGTTAAAGAACAACCTCTTAATGGGCTAATAAAAAATGATAATATTCTTGTTGGTGGTAAAAAAAGCATACATATAAAATATTCACATATAAAAATACACGTTGTACTAATAAATAACCAACTTTATATATATTAGAGATGAGAGAAATAGAAGGTGATATGAAAACTTTAGTATATGAAAATTATAGTAAATTTATTAGTGCCACAGATACTATTCGTAAGGTAAAAAGTAACAAAAGGTTTTCTTAATATATATAATAAATAAACAAGAAAGAGGATACAAAAGTTCTAATTTTTATAGTACTCTCTTCCGAGGGCCTTTTTTTTTTTTACCTTTTTTTAATAGATGAAATCAAATGTTGAAAGTATGGAATCAGAAATGGATCGACTTAATACCAGTATGGGAAATATATCACAACAATGCTCTAAAATCAATCAAGCTCTTGAACCCAATAAAACAAAAATCCAACAATTGAGTAATATACATAGTCAACTTCAACGACTTCAATTTATTTTTGAACTTCCTAATCGATTACAGCGTTATTTGGATGGAAAGCAATATACTATGGCAGTTAAAAATTATTGCAAAGCAAGGAAATTATTGGATCATTATGAACACATGTCAGCTTTTAAAGGAATTGAACGAGATTGTGGACTCATCATGGACAAAATTAAAGAAAATATTTGGAAAAGTATGAAAGATCATTCGGATACAGTAACATCCTCCTCTACAATGAAAATCAATGAACAGGTGAAATTGTTGATATTATTAAAAGAAGACCCTCATCAACTTTGGAATACCTATATTGATATGTAAGTTGCTTTTTATTTTTCAATCTTAATCTACTAAAAATGATCTTAATCATATTAACAATAATAATAATAACAATATATTAAATCGACTCATATTTAATGTATATACATTTACAACAGCCAATTAGCATCAGTATCAAAAAATAAACCTTCTCAACCACCTAGCAATGTTGATGATCTTATAAACCTTCAATTTGTACCCCTTGAAAATATAGTAGATCATTTTAATACGTTCTTTCTCTCTTCTTACAATAAAAACGACGGTATGAATAATCATGACACTGGATCTGTAATGGACATGACAATACAAGTAATCTACATACATATATACATATGAAATAGGCTATTCTATTTCTTTTAAAAAAAATGTACTTATTTATATAATTATTCTATTATTTTTACTCTAATTAATAGGATCATAATCAAGCAAAAGCTGATCTATTACAAAATATACAACCACTTATGGATGATTTCTTTAAATCAATTATTTCATTAACCCACTTAAATGTAAATTAAGTATAATAATATGACATACACACGCACATATATATATATATATATATATATATATATATATATATTTACTGCGATGATTTTTTTTATTCGTTAAATCTGCTTATTTATTTATTTAATATATCTTTAGGATGAACCATTGAATATAACAAAATTAACTGCGATTAGACAAGATATAACCAAATTGCATTCGACTATATTGGAAAAGACACCTTCATTACGATCAATAACATCCATTGAAAAACGTTTTGATGAATTTGTTGCCGATTGGGAAAATGATCTAATTAGCAAATTGTTAATAGCCATTCCATTAGAAATCAAAGGTATATATTTTAATATAAAATAAATAAATATGTACTATGTAGGATTTATTATTAAATGAATATCTTTTTTTATTAGATCGTATCATGAAATTTTCCACTGAACATTTACAAAATCAAACAGAAATAGTAGATAGTCATCTTATATGTAATTTCCTTGACGATACAGCTATTTGGTTTGGAAGATATATGAAATCAAAATGTTTTGTACCCTTAAAATCGTGTCTTCAAACTATTTCAGAAGAACAGCAACCTCAATTTTTATCACGTATTCAAGCTGGCTTGAAAAAAATGTGGAGCAAAACAGCTATTCAGATACAAGTAAGTGGAATAAAATGCGTATAACGCTATTATTATGATAAAATATGAAAAAGGTATAAACACACACACATATATATATACATATCATTTGATTTTAATTTTTCATTTTATGTATATATTTAATAAATTATAGAATTCAGGGAAACAAGAATTACCCACCAGACAAAAAGCAACTATACTTACTTTTATTATTTCAAGACTATGTTATGATTTTGCTGATCATAATATATTCCAAATTTATAGTGATTTATCTGTATTATTATATGGCACACATCAAGAACCCTATGATATCCAGACGTCGTCGTTGTCGTCACCATTGCCAGCCCAAATGGACCCCTTACTTATACCTGACGTAAACGAAATGATAGATAAATATGTATTAATTGGACAAAAATTACTTAATGACAATGTACAACTGAATGGATATTACCTTTCCAATGATATACAGAATTACTACTTAAAAAATATGAACATAACAAAAGAAACATTAACAGCTGTATCGACACCTTGGCCAAAAATAGTAACACATCTTAAAACACTAGAACAATTTATTCTTGCTATTTTCCCTCAACATTCAGGATCTAATTCAAAAATAAACAATGTTAACAGTAATGGCGGTGGTATGACGGGATCTAATACTGGTGATAATTCAGAAGCAGAATATGATTATCGATTTGACATGAACCCACCTAACGAAGAATCAACAACAGCCATTCATCAGATCCATTCATCGCATAGTATATCCACTTTATCTTCAGCAAGCACACCAATCTTGGATAACAATAATAATATAAATATGGGAAGAGGAAATGGTGGTGGTGGTAGTAATAATATTAATAATAATAATAATGGATTAGGATTGATTACAAGATTGGATGGTAGAAAAGATATGTCCTTCAATATGATGAATAATATCGATAAATTATTTGCAGAACGGGTTGATATTTATCGCTCAGTAGACCCTTCTATCAATAGTATTTGTGGCGGATTAGTGCGTATGGTAGTCAAAGCATTTCAAGAAACAGTGCGACAATTACAAGGTATTGACAATATTCTCTATCAGCAATTACAATTAGATATTGAATTTATTCAACATACATTTTGGTCATATACTACAGAAGAAAAGTAAGCAAAATAAACGATTAAAATAAATATATATATATATTTGTGATAATAATAATAAAAAGGAGAGAAGATGAAAGGAAAGAAAGAATATACTTTCATAATAGCTTTAATATTAATAATATTTTATTAATTTCACTGGCATATGTATATCTATAGATGGCTTAGCACTATATTACAAGATATAATAGCTGGTGCCTATTTACGGTGCAAAAATCCAAATGCATTGGCTCAAGAGGTAAAAAGATAGATTGATAGACAGATAGATATATAGATATAACTGTGCATGCATATTTAAGTATATTTATTTACCCATGATTTATTATCCTTTTTTATATAATGAATAGCATATGGAGATGTTAATAAATAATGCACTTGATGAAAAACTGGCTAAAAAATAACATGAAAGATAAAAAAATAAAATTTTTACAATATATTCCTGTATTCAAGTATTACTATCTGCTTTGGCCACTTGGTTAATGAAACTCGTTTAATATACTCGTAAACTAATTTATTGAATACCATTAATAATGACTACGAATAATAAATAGAACATATCATTATGTATATCCTTACTCTTTATGGACATGTATATGTATATATAATAATAATAATAATAGTTAATAACAATCTACTTTTATAGATCATTATCATTAATGGTTATAAAAAAAGAAAAGTAAATATAATAGAAATAATATCTATAATTAACGACAATATCACTGATTTGAGATTATTATTCAATAAAACTAATTTTATTTTTAAGTATAAAATATATACCTTTATTATTTTAATAAAGTAAAAGGCTTATTTTATAGATAATAAAAAGAATTTTAGACAAAAGGTATGTACTTAATGTTTATAATACATAAATAAATATTCAGAAAAACAAACAATAATACGCAAACCAAAAAAACTCTATAATTGACAACCACAAAATAGTACAACGATATTAATTTTTTATTTCTTTTTTCCATTATTGATGATATATTTATATAAAAAAGAAATTATAATATTATTAAATATCAACACTTTAAAAGTTAGTGTATAGGATAAATAGATAATTTTTATGATATAATATATACACTATAATAATAGTATTTCATTTGAAGTATTTAAAAATGATAGTTCAATAATTATTCATGAATTAAGCATAACGATAAAAGGTAACCCTTTAGTTATTGCCGCCCAATATAACGTCACTGTTGAACAATAGAGATAATTATACTTTTTTTTACAATTTAATTCTTACAACCTTTTTTCTTACTCTTTTCTGTCTCAAAAAAATTAAATTTTATTTTAATATAAGTAGGATTAAATATTTTTCTTTCTCTTTTTATTTCCTGTTAAGTTTTTAAATGGTTTATATAACAAATATTCTATTTGTCCAAACTAAATTTATTTTATCTTTATTTTTATTTTGTTTATTATTATAAAAATATATTTTAATTCTTTAGTGAAATTATTTTATTTTATTTATTTGATTTGATTTGATTATTACCCTTTTTGTACATTAGCCTACCGTCTGGCTTTAAAATTCATTTGCATATACTTTTGAATTTTTAACTATTTTATTTTTTAAGTTTTTATTTTATTTTGCCTTTAATTTTACCTTATATTAAGTCGCTTTAGTTATAAAACAAGAATTATTACTCAGTAGAACTCTCATGCCTATTACAAATATAAATACAAATTCATTATTTATTTTAAAAAAATAAGTATTACCAAAAAAGCACACAACAAGGAATTATTTTTAACCGCACCAATAATTTTTTATTTCGGTTAATATTTTACCCATTATCACTTGCCAAAAAAATGCGTTGTCGGGGACTCGAACCCCGGCCATCAGCTTGGAAGGCTAATATTCTACCCTTAAACTAACAACGCTTCCTTGAAATTTTAAGAAAAGTAGATTATAAGAAAAAAATATTTAATATTTTTATATGAATTTATGATTATTATTATTTGATTTTTATTAAATCAAATTCATAGTTTTTTATAACGATTAGATCATTTAAAAAATATTAAAAAAAGGAAGAAAAAGCGAACTGATTTTTTTAAACCACCGCATTTTTTTTAAAAAATGTTTCTGATCAAAGAACGATAATTTTCTCTGTAATTTTTTTTTAAAATATTTTTATTTGTATTTGATTTCAATAAAATTGTATTTTTAATAATAATACTGCATCATATCGTTTATTATAAATACGTAAAAATATGTATATAAGTATCCAATTATGTATTTATAATGAGTTTTAGAACTACTCAAAATAAAGATAGTATGAAGTTTATGTTTTAAAAAAAGATATAGTTACTTTTTTCTGACTAACATAAACGATAAATGCTACTAATGCTTATTATTATTGAAAAAAAAATGACTGAAACTATTTTGATAGAAATATATAATTATATATATATTAAAATAGAAATTTTAAAAAAATCATTTCAACTGGATCTATAGAATCGATGCATAGATAGTTCTATTTCGTGTATATTAGGCTCCTCTTTTTTACTTTTTAAAGCAATATTAAGGCAATCCTATTAAATTCATAAAAGTATTAAGCATAAAATACAATAAAAATATAATATCAATATATATTAAGTAGGGTTGTATATATGTGTGTAAGTGTGTGCCTTTATTACAATATTTAAAAGTTAGTTTGCTTTTTTGGGGGAGGTAGGAAAAAAAAAAAATGAAAAAAATGGGAACTGATAAACAATAAAATTGTTAAATAATAAAAAAATAAACAAACAAACCAAACTAAATAATAATAATAACAACAACAACAACAATACTAATATATATATACTTCATGAGAATTTTATATTTTGCTGTTTATTATAATTTATCGTATTAACATGTGAATCAAGTGCATTACACATTCACTTTAATGTACCTTTTTATTTTTCTAATTTTGATGGGTTTTTTTTTGTACAAAAGTAAAAAAAAAAAAAAATGAATAAATATAAAAAGAATTATTAAATTCTATAGTAAGTTATCAAGATTATTAAATATATATATAACGATTGTATAAATTAATGAGTGAATATAAACTAATAGTCAATCGTTTTCGAATTTGATTATATTTTTTAAGTAAAACTATTTACACCAAAGGTATTAGATATATTTAACTCCAGTCAGCGAAATAAGGATAGCTATCAGCTCATCCTTTCAGTAATATATAAAAAGGGAAAAATAGAAAAAGGATTAATAGGCAAACTTTTATCATCATTCAATACTATATATGTTTATATTATCAGTCTCAGCTAAATAAAAAATAAAATAAAACACGCTCATTAAATGTAAACTATCCTTAAGAATAAATCAAAATATATATAAATGAATTATAAAAAACGTGTAAAAAAGAAGATATATAATTGAATGATGTAACTCCTTGTAATGGTTATTATTTTACCTTAAAGCCCTTAATAAAATGGTTAATTACAACAATTGGGGTGGGTAAATATAAATAAAAACATATACAAATAAACGAGGTTATATTGAAACAATAATTATAAAACAAGTTATGCAATATCCATATATTCAAAATAAAGAAATTATAGGTGATGAGTTTTGTTTTTACTTTTATTTATTTACGTAATTGATATTCATAATAATTTTTAAGAGTAGGACTGGTGATACGTTAAAAAAAAATAAAAGCTAATTTTTTTTAAATAAATAAAGGTTTTTTTTTGCTAATACTAATACTAATAATAATGTTTATTTAATAATAAAAGGGAATAAATCAGGAATTTTAAAACTTTAAAAAAAAAGGGAAATCATGGGGTTAAAATGTGTTTAGGTATTGGGTATATCATGGGAACCTTTTTTTTTAATTCAAATGATCAAGATGCGAAAGAAGTGGGTTCGTTTTTTTGGGGGAGATGAAGGCGAGGGGTTAATTATATATTTTCCCTTGGCTTATTATTGTTATTTTTTTCTTTTTATCTTTTTTTTTTAACATAATAAAGTGTTCTCCAAAAATTGAAGTAATTGAGATTTCAATTGATGTGGTATAACTGGCTTACTTATACAACCATCCTATTAATTTAATATATATAAATATGAAAATAAGTTACGTTTAAAGCTGTTCTATTTTATTCCGCTTTATCCCGTTCCAGTCTTTTTTTATTATTATTTTCTTTTTACCATTCCAACTTGTTGGTATAATTCAATTGCTTCGATAGAATCATTTGTTGTAACAGCAATAATTGGTGTATTTCTATTCCCATCCAAGATAGGTACCATTGTCATTGTTGTCGTTCCTTGATGACTTTTCATACGAATATATCTTGTTGTTTCAATGCCGTTTAATCTTGGCATGTCGATATCTAATAAAATAAGATCATATAATTGGTGTTGTAAATATTGTAAAGCTTCATATCCATCATAAGCTATATCCATATACTGAATATTAAAATTCATTTGTATTATTTTTTTTAGTAATTGAAGATTGATCACATTATCATCTACTAATAAAATACGAAGTGGTGATGATAAGGATGAGGAGGATATATCAGTATTTGCTGTAATGGTTGATGAATTGGAAGTGGATGAGGAAGAGGAAGAAGTGGAGGATGGTGGGGTTAATAATGTCTTCTTCATTATGTCATTTTAAAATAACCCTTTGTGTATATGGTTTTATTAAATAATAATAATAATAATAATAATAATAGTAAAAAAGTAAAAAAGAAAGAAAAGAAAAGAAAAGAAAATAATAGAAAAAATTCGTTTTGTACCTTAAATAAATTTATTTGTATGTGTCACAATAAAGCATGATTTTTTTTTATAAAAAAGAGGTCCGGGGGTTGAAAAAAATTATAATTCCAAAAAAATTTAATTTTTCTTCCTTACGCTTCTTTTTGTTTCCTTTACCTTTTCTTATTTTTTATATTTTTTATATATATATTAGCAGTAAATAATAATAATACAAAATTATATAAAATGAACATCAACTGGACAAAGCCATTTCTTATAAAAGAAAATAAAACACTAAACGATGGTGATAAAATAATATTACCTTCATCGGCTTTACAGCAGTTATTAGATATGACGCAGGACTTACCTTCTCCTATGACGTTTAAAATTTATAATCCACATAATCCAAACCTTGTTCTACATGGCGGTGTAAAAGAGTTTTCTGGCCCTGATAATATAGCTCTTGTTCCTTCTTGGATGTTTACTTCACTCAACTATTCAACTACTACTGCTGATGATATACAACAAAGAGTTATGATTCAATGGAAACCATTACCTAAAGGTACCTGGGTAAAGTTAAGGCCTTTAACAGATACACATAAAGAAATATTAGACTATAGAGCTGCTTTAGAAGCACATTTACGCCAACATTATAATACATTAACCATGGGTCAAACTTTAACTTGTAAATATGGTTCAAAGCAATATCCTTTTCTTGTGGTCGATTTAAAACCGGAACAAGCCGTAGGTGTGAATGATACTGATTTAGAAGTGGATTTAGAACCATATCAGCCTATAATAAATAATAATAATACAGAACAACAGCTTGCTCACCCTTCTAATTCTCCTATAACTGCTAATTTAAATGCCAATATAAATACTACTATACAACAAATAAATTTAGATCAACCTATAGAGCAAATTTTAATAAAAAAAAATGACTATCATTATTGGTCAATGGCTATTTCAAATTCAGATTCGTTATTGGCATCAATGGATATTATAAGTGGCAACGCAGGTATATATATAAGGGGGGAGTGAAAAAGAGTGAGAATATATATGTATATATATAAAATGATGACAAATCATAGGTTTTAATGATGTTATTTTTATTATTTTATTTTATTTTATTTATTATTATATTAGATTTGGTTATAGGTTACGAAGCTCATCCAAAAATAGATAATTATGTATGGGGTGATCTAACATCATACAAGCAAAAGAGACTAAGAATAGAAAAACCAACAAAAAAAACAATCTATATTGGTATTTATGGATATATAGACAGTACCGTGTCCTTGGTTATAACATCATCATCATCATTCTCATCATCATCGATCATTAGTGAAAAAGAAGAAAAAGAAAAAGAATCTAAAATAGGTCAGGTGCAATGTCAGAATTGTCATTCGTGGGTATCAGAAACTACTTTTCCATTACATGAAACTTTTTGTCTACGTAATAATCAATTATGTCCATGGGGATGCGGCCAAGTCTTCCAACGTAATAATAGTAGTGCTTTGGAACAACATTGGCATTGTGAACAATGTGATATCATAGGAAATGGTCAATTGGAAAATGAAAAAATAAAACATCAAGAGTATTATCATTCGCAGCATACTTGTGATCAATGTAATCATCATCAACAGCAGGAGTCTATTTTTACTTCTTTACCTCAACTTGCTCATCATAAACAAACCGTTTGTTCGGGTCGACTCATTATTTGCAGATATTGTCATGTAATTATAGAATAAGAATAAAAAAAAATATAAAAAAAAGTATAAAATAGAGATATAATAATATAAAATAAAAGCAAAAGGTCACGGTCATTCATTATATATATATATATTTATTATAGACTTCAGTTATACAGGGACCAATTGCTACAGATCCAAGAGATAAATTAATTGGTTTACATGAACATGAAAGTTATTGTGGATCAAGAACGATTACGTGTCAAAAATGTCAAAAATCCATTCCTATTAAAGAAATTCCAGTTCATGCCAAAATTCATGAAGTAGCAAGGCAAAATCAAAAATTACCACCTTTATGTAATAATCAGCAATGTATCCGTCCCAAATCCAATAACAAATTAGGTCTATGTCAATATTGTTTTGGTCCATTCTGGGTAACGGAAGATGATCCTAAACATATAAAATTAATTCAACGTGTTGCAAGAAAAATGCACACT